TACTTTCCCTTCAGCCTGAGGCTTATTCATTTCACGTTTGGTGTGAAAAGGCTTTTATATTTGCCAAAAATATAACTTTTTTATTTTAAAAACAAACAAGCAAGCTCTGTCCAGATGTTAAAAGTAACGCAGAAGTAACGTAACGCATTACTTTCAATAAAAAGTAACGTATTAGTTACTTTTGTATGGAGTAACGCAATATTGTAATGCATTACTTTAAAAGTAACTTTCCCCAACACTGGTTATCAGTTTCTTGTATGCAAATACCGGGGAACGGATTAGATCACAGATTTAAAGAAATGTAAGATTTATAAACCTTGACTTAAGATCATCAGCTAACACCATGTAATTTAAGCCTACTTATCATAAATAAAGCGATTTTACTGTTCTTATATATATATATATATATATATATATATAACAACGCTTCCACTCTCCTGTAGCTGCGCGGATTGGATGCGTAGCAGCTGCGCAGAGCGGATGCTCATGAACACACCGCGCGCAATCACGAGCGTGTTTGTAAACATCATTTAGCCTTATAAGCAGACGAACAGAGATGCTGCTTTCACGCGACCCGACAGCCTCTCATAATCCGCGCGAGGACTACCATCCTCAGTTTAATATAGCTGTTATTACTGAGCGATGCTTCAGTTAAACCGATAAACTTGAATGAAGGTATGAAGGATTGTGTTTAGCCAGCATGCTAGTTCACCTTATGCCAAGAACAACGGTTAGTCAGCTGTTTTGTAATACAGGTAAGTTATTGTCATTCTGATTTTGAATGACCACACAGCAGAGACGGACAAATGTAACCCTCCTTTTTTGCTGTTGTGCAGTGTGACTCCATGATTTGTCATTGTTAGCTGACAAACAAACTCACTAAGAATTGCGCAAACACTGGTGGTCACTATATAACGTTAGTTTCTGTTGATTTGGGCCAGACAGCAACGTCAGTCATGTCAGACAAATAAACACAACTGCATGTCATTTAAAATGATCTCACCACAACCAGGCTTTCTGATGCTGTACTAGAGTACACACATTGAATAGCTGAGTCAATGCCAGTCGTTTGCTGTGAATTGATGGGTTTGCCAAAGTAATCTCAGGCTCTAGAAGTCCTTTGCATCATGGTATTGAATTACTAGTTCTGCAGATGTAATTTGTTCTGGCAGCCACATCAGTTGGAGGTCTGCATTAGTCAGCTAGAGGCAGAATGTGTATTTATCCTGAATTATTGTCATCGACAACTCTTCACTGAATAATTTTGTGGGTGTTTTCAGCAAAACAATGTCAGGATCAAGTTCACTTTTTTTATCAGTTCCACGAGGACTTCTGACACGTGTGTATGTATTTTATGTACTGTCAATCTTTAATGTATTCTGTTCCAGCTTAATGCAAACTTAATGTTAAAGGGGAATCAGAGTTATCAAACTTAAACTAAATCTAAAAGTAAAACCATAAATAACTTTACTTTTTTTTGTTAATTGAAAAATAATAAAAGTATATTAAAAAACCTTAACTTAATTTATTTTCTCATATTCTTTAGCTTAAGTTTAAGTACAAAAATAACTTCAACTAAATAAATCTTAAATAAAAGTTAAGAAATACTTTATAGGCAAAGTAAAAAAAAAACACACTAATAAAATGATGAATAATAATGAAATTAAATTAAGAAAATATAATCGTAATAATTCAGAATATTTACAAAAACTATAATTGTGTATCAATGACACTAAAATAACACTGATGGGAATATGTGGCATTTAATACCTTGAATGTCCTAATTTGTTTC